AATTGCATCTAATCCATATGGGCAATGATGAAACGGGCTTGGCCCAATTGCTGGAAATATTTTCAACCATAAAACATTGCCTAATAATTTAAGGAAACCGGCCCAATACATCGTCACGTGTGCTACTCTGGTCCCTTGATTTCATGGCTGATCTACGGTGAATGGGATGTCTGGCATATGAGTGGTCATAAAAATTTTGAGTTACAATTCACTAAACTTTGTTTAAGATATGCCTCCAAAAAGCAATAATTAGATTAACATACAAATTTTTCATTCAAAATCAAATGATATATCTGCTGGATTATGCTCACTATCATTAAGAAAATAAGAAGAGTTAGTCTAATACATGACTGTTAGTTTTATAGAAAATGTTGTGAACCAAAATAGCTTGTACAAAAATCATGCCAACAATTTAAGAAGCTGCAACCCAAACGGTCTAATGTATGATAATTATTTAACAACTACAACCTTAACTGATTTGAGCTCATGGATATTAACCAGACTTAATTAGATCAACATCACATGTAACAACGGTTTACATGTAGTTTTAAGTATCATCCCCAAAAATCCGTCAATTGAAGTTCAATTTGAAGTTCAATTTAATGTTCAATTAGACACTCCGTCAATTCTCGTCAATATTTTTCTAAATTAAAAATTCAAACAAGCCATTACCCTTTGCGATGCGATGCTCGTGGATCTTGAATCGATGCCTTTATCTAGATTCGTACTACCACCATGGTGTGAGAGGTGATGGGAGGCGGGGTGCATGTCGAATGACTATGGCCTAGTGATGGCAATGGGCCGGGTTCGGAGCAGGGCTCCCCGCCTCGCCACTCCCTCGTCCCGCCCCACGCCTCGCCCTGCCCCGTTTCCTACCCCGTTTGTTTTTTTTTTTTTTAGTTAAAATACAGATTCAAAATTTTAAAATCCAAAGCAAATAATGTTCAAACTAACTATATCAATATCCAAAGCAAGCACTCGAAACAAAAAATATCCAAAACAAACAATGTCTAAAACAATTTTTTTTTTAATTCTTCAGGGGTGGGTTCGGGGCATCTCCGCCCCGCACCGCCCCGTGACTCGAAACGGGGGGACGAACCTCGCCCCACCCCACCAACCCATTCGGGGCGGACCCCCACTGGGACGGGACGGGGCGGGGCGGGGAAAATTGACATCTCTACTATGGCTGCGGCGAGTCTGTGGAGAAAGATTAGAAAGAGGTTGGAGTGAGTTGAGATATTACCTAATATGTATTTATTCGATATATAATATATTATTTTATATGTAATATTTATTAATTATCGCCTAAGTTCTGAATTTTTAAACATTTATCTAAAATTGAATTAGGATATAGTTAAGACATGATTTATGTATTCTTCCCAAAGAATTATGAGCTCAGCGTGAATCGCTCGACCCGCTTGTTAGCCTTAGGTTAAAGTTAGGGCTGTAAGCAAAAACCGCCAACCGAAAAATCGAATCGAAACCGCAATTTCGAAACCGGCGGTTTGGTGGCACGTAGACCCGTCNCTTAAAATTGAAATTTTGTCACTTTCTAGTTGAAATTTGTTTACATATTTATTGATCGTGAGTAAGGCTTAAAGTTGAAATTCGGGCTATCAGGTGCGCAAAAGACATTTGTTTACATATGAGAGAATATGTATAATTCCGTGTTAAATTGCAGAAGATGAAGGTGGGTATATATAGTGGAATGGGGGAGAAAAAATATTTATTTTAGTAGACTTGTATTGTATCTTTATCGTAAAGTATTATCCTAAAACGTCAAAAGGGCGAATAAAAAATTATGCTTTAGTTTATTGTGATTTTAATTTTATTTTGTTGGTATTTAAATTTATAGTAAATATATTTAGTTTGTTTTAGATTTATTTCTAGTAAGATATAAATATGTATTGAATTAATGGCATAAAAGTAGATACTAGACAGAAAAAAAAAATATACGTGAAACCGGCGGTTTAAAACTGGACCAAACCGTTAGGTTTAGATTTGAGTTTTTTTCAAACTGGTCAAAAAAATTTTGATTTTGGTTTGAGTTTTTCTCAAACCGGTCAAAACGATTTGGTTTGAAAATTTATCAAAAATCGTAAAAACTGCACCGCTTACACCCCTAGTTAAAGCTACGTGCTTAAAATCTCTTGGGGTTTTCCTGCGCAAGTTCGAACCCTGTTGTCAACGATTTGTTTTAACTTTTGGTTTGACATCTATTTGTTTCTAATTATTGTGTTTCTTTATTTATGTTTGATATAATTAAAAAAAATCAACTATTGGTGTATAGTTTTTTTTTTAATCGAATACAAGAAAAATTCAGACTATTGTAATATTTGGCTCTTTCGTTTAAAAAATATAAATAATATCCCACAAAAAAATTATTTCTTACGGCCATGAAGACAATCAAATTTCGCATATTGTTGGAAAAACTTTCACTCATTAGTAAAATTAGTTTTATAGCATTCACCGGAACAACACCGTACTTTTCAAGTGTGATTTTATTTTTGAAGGATTATGCCATTTTGTCAGAATGGAGGAACAGAAGTGTAGGTGACAGTAGATGATTGAATAAAAAAATTGACTGTATTTTAAACAATCCAATAATAGAATGTCATGTGATATTATTTCAACTTATATGGCATCGTAGAATGATTGCTTTTTCAATTGATCTGACCAATTAATTGAGGACATGAATTGATGCCTCCATCAAGCCACAGTTTTTTGTGGGTTCGAATTGGCCATTTAGAGGACAGCGCCGACAGCCCAACAACCTAGCATTATTACGTACCATGTGCCCTCAATCTTTGGGGTATTAAGCTTGGAGACTTGTCCTTATTCTCTACTTTAAGAAAAGTAGAATCCAAGGTTTAGGGTATTAATGGTAATGAAAGTTAAAATTGAACGGATCCCATACAATATTTTCTCTAAGTATACTAATTTTAGTGGTTGAAAGTGTATTCCATCATCATAATTATTTGATTTGAACTACAACTCAGCAAGTGTACATAAAATAATCATATAAATACAAGATCACACACACATTAATAAATTATTATACTCGTAAAACATAAATAAGACCAAACTCTTATTTAGGATAACCATTCGCTTTAAGCTCGACAGAGGTAGAGCTTTGTAAATTAACACCAAGTCGGATTGTTCAAATCTCTCCCAAAGAAAATGTCGAGTGCAGATGTTGAGAAACGCGAAAGAAAACTATAAAGGATATGAACATGCACAAATGATGTTTTTTATAAAGCATTTCAAAATTAAAAAAAAAAAAGTGGTAACTTGTAATATGCAATTGTGGTCGTTACATTGGAAATTGACTCGGGATGACAATAGAATATGACAACTATTTCTTTCTCCCATTCCATCAAGTATTTTTATCACATTGCCCCACTCTCATACTATTAAAGTCGGGCGGGGCCTTTTTTTGTGTGTGTTATTTTTTTCGTATCTTATTGGTGAATATAATTTTTTTTTTTTCAATTTGTTAAGAACATTTCTTGTTCCCTTTAGAAAGGATGATGATTTTCTTCTTATTTGATGAAAAAATTAAATTTGAAATGAACTTTAAATGAGACGGATGGTGGGGTGGAGATTATGTTTCCTGTACTAGCCCCATCCATGCTTTGGGTCAAAGACCCTTACCCCGTTTATTCGATTAGACTAGTAATCCTCGCTCTTTTTGAAATGGGGTTCCCGAATATCAAATTTAATGAATTTTTTGGTCATCCTTAAAATAGACATTTTAAAATGAGGGCTGCTGCTTGTACAGACAAAAATCAACATAAATACACCAGAATAGACACAATAGAGGGTGGGTGGCTTTTTTTTTCAATATTTTACTTAGATGGGACCCATCCCCATGTGAGATTTCTGGCTGAATTTTGGTTTCATTCATTTGTACAGAATGAATTAAACCTTTTAAAATAGGGTAAAATGGACATTGTACGTATTGAAAGTTGACATTTTTCATACGCTCCCATGTGACCGTTTAGATTTTCAATCAAAAGCAAGGAGCAAAATTATTTTCCAAAACGGTCACAAGTACAGAGGCTCACAGTAAAATCGTGCACCTTCTACAGAGAAACACTCCCCCTCTATAACTAGAGAATTAAAAATTCTAGAAGTTAAAAATTCAAAACTCAACTTGGTCCCCCCGCTGTTACTTCTCTTTTCACCCCTTCTCACTCTTGTCTCCGCCGACGTATTAACGGTTCTCCGTCGCATACGGAGGCGCCGATTGTTCATACACCGGAAAATTTTGATGCTTTCAGAAGTCATTTCCTATTTCTTACATTACCATCGTTGTTGCATAGGTGATGCAACGACGCTTCATTTTTTTTCTTTACTCGCTGAAAAGATTAAAACATTTGAAGTTTTAATATTAAGAATTCCAATATGTGTGTGTATTTGTGTTACATAGGAACTTAACAAGATATTGTAATTAGATTGTTTTATTATAAGAAATGCTGGCGGCTTTTTATGCTTTCTTATTGTGTTTATTTTACTGGTTGAGATGAATAATACTGCTTTCTACCTGTATGCCAATCGTAAATCTACCCTGGAGTGTTTTTTCAATTTACACCCTGCTTTCCCCTTCTTCGAACAATTATAATGTATTTCTGGATGTCTGGATTTTTTAATTTTTTTTTACTATTTCTTTTTCTTTCTTATTTCTAGTCAGACAATCCTTTTCTGGATCAATGCAGTTGGGGAAAATTTGTGTTTTTGGGGGCAGGGGAGCTTAAGGTGAGAGGATAATTGTTGGAATGTATTTAGGCAACGAGTGACCACAATCAAGCAATAAAATATCATTCACAAACTGAGTGGTATACGGAGTAAACTTCAGTTTATCATTTCTCATTTCGCTCAGTTATGAAACATAATTTTAATAGGCATTCTCCAGGAGAATAAAAACAAAAAGGGGGTGATTTTGTAAGTACATAAACTGACCTAATGATTGATTTATTTTTCTGTTACAGGGAGTCAAGATGATTGGGTGTTTTATAACCAGAGGACTTGTGTATGTGTTACCTTTAGTTTGTGCAGATAAACAATTATGGTTCTTTACATTCCATCGGAAGATTCTTATATTCTGCATTTGGCGTTGTAGGTTGGTTTTGGGTTATGCTTATCCTGCTTACGAATGCTTTAAAACTGTGGAAATAAAGCCTGACATCGAGCAACTTCGGTTTTGGTGCCAGTATTGGTAATTGCATATTTGCATTTGTGCCTTCAACAGCTTTAGTTGCAAATTTAAGTAGTAACTAGTAAGATCTTGAATTTTCAGGATCTTGGTTGCTGGGCTGACAGTTTGTGAGAGGATTGGTGACATGTTTATTGGATGGTAAATATTTGACGTAGAAGATGTAAAAATACTTCAAGTTCTATTAATCAATTTGTGCATAAACTTTTGTGTTTGTGTGAAGGGTTCCAATGTACAGTGAAGCTAAGTTGGCCTTCTTTATATACCTGTGGTACCCTAAAACAAAGGTCTATGATCTTCTTTATGTTTCAGTATCAAGTTTTAGATAGTTTCGTCCTTATCTATTATAACTGTACAGTCTCTTTTCCTTCCATGTATTTCAGGGAACAAGATATGTTTATGACTCCTTCTTTAGACCATATGTTGCTAAGCACGAGACAGAAATAGATCGCAATTTGTGTGAACTGCGGACAAGAGCTGGAGATATCGCATTTTTGTACTGGCAAAAGGCTGCAAGTTATGGTCAGAGTAGAATATTTGAGATTTTACAATATGTTGCTTCACAATCCACCCCTCCTCGTCCTTCTCCGGTATGTACTGGAAAAATTTTGGTTTTGAAGCATACTATCATCTTCGCTTTATGTTTGCTGTTTTTGGACTCTAACATACCGATCCTGTACAGTATTACCAAACGCACCCAAAATGTATCGTGGCTTTGCACAATAATTGGTTCTTTAGCTCTGAGATTTCTCTTAGTGTTGAACTCATTGTGGGGTACCATGGTATGTTTAACTCTTGAAAAATGTTTAGGATCATGAATTGCGGTACCCATTTGTGTTTTGGGCTCAGGTAGTCTACATTCTAGTTTCTAGTGTGAATGCCTTTAAAATTGAATGTGCCTAACTTTTCATAGAAAAGGCGTTTTTCATTTCTCTGGTCCAGTTCTCTCTTACCAGTTAGAGAAGGGTAGACAAAACGAAGTGGTCTTGATGAAAATTGTTTTCTTTTAACCCTTTGCCACACTCATTTAGTTGAATAATTTCCATTTGAAGAACTTATAACATATTACTCTCGTCCCATGTCATCTTTGCATCTTGCCAGTGATAATGTATCGTTGCTTGTGATGCTTGGTCATGATGATATGTCACCATAAAAATGGTACCAAGTGAAGCAACTGTGGATGTTTTTCACTCCAGTAATACTTAACAGTCGTAAGCTTGGATAATCCATGACCTTTATTGGAGGCTGTTAGGTCTGAAGTTTTTTTTTTCTTTTTCATTTTTTTCCCAAAATCATTTTCCTCTTACCAAATCAATCAGACTTACACTCACACCCCAGTTGATAGCTATTGGAAGTTTGCTTTTATAATCGAAATACTGCTGTTTTTAACCTTGCAGACACAACAGCAAGGTGCTAAGTTAGACCACCCGCCAACACCAAATCGCAGATCAGCTGCAACAACACAGCTGCAGAATAAAGAACCCCCATCTCCTACTTCTAGTACTTCTTCAAGTCAACTTGAAGAAGACGTGGCCGAAGAGGCAGGGCCTTCAGCAGCTTCCAAAGGAGCTCCCCTGACTACATCCTTAAACGGACCAAAAACAACATCCATGCAAGCTTCCAGAGAAGCTACCCTGACTACATCCTTGGACGGACCAAAAAAATCTATGCAGACCCTTGTTAAGACAAGCAAAAGTTTGAATTCTAGTGAGGAGAAAGTGATGTTAATTAATTCAGTGCCTCCTTCAGCAAGTGAAAACGTTCAACCTCCTCCACAAGAGACCATTATAGAAGAATCCAGACGAGCCACGGGAGCAAGATTAAGAAAAACACGCACTCGTTAATTGGGGTCAAGTCATTCCACAAACATATTTAGGCAAGTTTGTTGGATTGTTGATGCTAATGTGTTGTTTTCAGTTTATGATGGATCAAATGCTAAAATCTGGAAACCATATATTTTAAATAATTCCCAATTCTTTTATATTTTTACTTTTGCTCTGTCTTTCTACTTATATAAGGTTTTTGGTAAATATAGCCGTTAGAACAATTCTTTACTTCAAAATTTCTTTTATTTTCTATTTTTTCAAAAGGTGTTTCCTGGGATGACCTGAAGGGTGTTTGGCTAAGGTCTAAGAGTGAATGAGTCAGTTTTAAAATAATTTGTTATTTAGTTGATTAAATTAAAAATAAGTTTCTTATATTGAAAATAATGCAGGAGTTATTTATTGATTTAAATTAAAATAATTTACTTATTTTATTGACTGCTGGGGTGGCCGGCAGTGGTAGGTTGTGGAGGTGGACTGCGTTGGTCGTGGTAAGAAGGCTTGTTTGTCCAAATTATTTTCCTTTTTTAATTTTGTCGGTTACTTTTAATTGTTTTAGTAATTTTTTTATAATTAGGACTTCCATTGCCATTTTCTCTTCATTATTTTATTTAGTTGCATTTTTTTTTAAGGACGACAAATTCGTCTCGGGAAAAATTGACGAAAGGACATGATTTGCAATTAAATCAAAGATTGAGACTGCTGCTAAAAAATTATTGACGAGA